TTCATTTTTTATTTTTGTAAACTAAAACAAAAAGGGTTGCATATCCTTACTTATTATCTGGAACACCAATAAATAGTGTTATCATTGTATATCTAAAACAACAATTTTAAATAATGTTGCAATCTGAGTGTCGCAAGATGGTCTTTTTTTCCATAATGTGGTTACTTCTGGGAGATCCGAAATTAAAGAGCGGATGGATTCGGATTTTTATAAAACAGTGCAAAAAATTTAATATGTCTCGTCCCGTAGCAAGTTGAGTATTTTGTTTTGGGGTGGGTGTCGGTGCAAGTCGCCCGATAAAAAGGATTGCACATTCTTACCTATAATGCACCATCCTTTTCGACAATCTTTTTTATCTTAGTTATGAAATTTTTTTCCTCGATTCCGTTTGCAACCTCCACTTTAAGCAACCCTGGTAAAAGTGTTGCGAATGAATGTTGCAACTCTTTTAAGACTTTATGCAACAAATTTTTGAGTTGTAAGAGACCATTTTTCTCGGAGTGGCAGTGTTCATTATTGCATATAATATTACAAAATTTAATTTGAAGGAGATAAACTCCAAAAAAAAAATCAACACTTTTTTAGTGGAATTTGACGTGACAACTAAGGTGATCAAGTGTCTAAAATTTTACTACATTATGAAAATTATAGCTATATTGTATTTTTCAAAGGTTTGTTAATATCTGTCAAAGTTGTTTGGTTAATATTCTATCGAAATTAAAAAGTTCGGCCAATAAATTTTATTTACCCGAAAAAGTTATAATACGTTTTCCAGTAAAATCTAACATGACAAGTGGAGTTTGAATTTTTGCAGTGGAACTGGAATCATGTGGGCATTACAAATTTAAAAGTCATTAAAATGATAATAACCCATCTAAATTAAGTGTTAGTTCTAATCAAACTTGTGGCGAGTGCACTTTACTAGAAGAGTACAAAGACATTTGCAGCCGCGCTATCGAGATCTTGAGAAAGATGGCCAGGATTTGCTCTGGCAACCCGCACCCAGCTTTGCCGTGGATCGACCCGTAATAATTGTGGCGCCCTAATAATCAAAACCAAAACAAATAATTTCCATCAAACCCATTACCTGACCTGACCTGACCCAAAATCAATATGTATGATCAGTTCGTTGTACCTAGGCTAGCTACAGAAACTTCAGCCTCCATACATAAATCATTTATTCGCCACAGTGCCCCAATTGGCCGCCGAAGAAAGGAAAATAATTACGACGAGAAAATCAAGTTGGCATCTAGAGAGAAAGATCTTCTGATCATCAAATTAATGCCCATTTTGATCTTCCAAAACATGCTACAGATAAATTTTTTTTAAAAAAAAACACACTATTGTGCTCAAGGGGAAGACAGAGAAATAGGATGTCAGGCGGAAGAGAGTGGGTCAAACGTCGAGAAAACCAAACCAAGATTCGAAAACCACTTTTAATATATATATGTTGATATTAATTGCTTGATCATAATATTATTATTATAAAATAAAAACATCAAACGAACGTAATGTCGTTTTCCAGCACATGCATGATGCCCCTAGAGCAAGGGTGGTTGCTGTTCTCCTTGTTGTTTTGTTATTGTATTGAAATACACCTTAATTAGTATTGGAGCTAATATTCCCGTTCTAAGTATTTTTTTTTATGTAATTAGCGTATATGTTGACTAAAATATTATAGTCAAATTGGATTTTTCCTTGTATTTCATGGTATTGGAAATATGTTACTCCTTGTCAAAAAAAATGGAGCTCGATGTTTAATTTGTTGCCTTCGACTTACAGACGTGACCAATGAATCAAGACTTATAAAAAAAAATTATTCATGTATAAAATAGAGAAATCGGGAATAAAAGAAAAGTATATAACTCGAGTACCTTTATTCACTTATTAGGGTAGCTCGACCAACTTAAGTAAGCCACTTTAACTTAGGGGTTGTTTGGATGAGGAATTGTAACGGATCAATTTGACACAATTGTCTCGTTTTGAGACAATTGTATCAAATTGTCTCGTTTGCCAGCAAAAAATTTGGATGGATCAATCTGCCTGATGTATTTTGAATTGATCCGTTTTGAGTCAATTTCAATTACCTGGGGTGGGGGCAGATAATTCGAATTGCCTCGCTGGAAAATCTTTCGGACATCAACCCTTTAACTTCGTGCGTGAGCATAGTACCACTTGAGAATCAGATTCCGATCGCATTAGGTTAATTAGATTGATGGCTTCGCAGCTCACCAATCTCCAACATTGTGGGATCAAAACGAAATTTTCCGATTGATTAGTATTCGATAAGAAACATTTTACTGTAGGGAATATAACGCGACATAATTAATTATAAACCATACGTTAGTCCCCTTGAGTTTTAATAAATAATTTAACAATTAGTTCAATTCAATTGAATCCATTTAAAATAAGGGGAAACCACCGATCGAGCTGTTTGAAGGAGGAAAATGTTGAAACCAACGGTCTCCCATTTTCATATATATACCATGAAGAAGAAGGCAAAGAAGAGGAATTAACTATTCATTTTTAGGGTTTAATTTTAATTAATCTATTCCGGCTCTTTATGTTTGTTGCGGTTAATTTATTCGGTAAGGAGATAAAGAGGCCAATTATGTTTGAGCAATCAATTAATTAATAAGATAGATAGCGGAGTATAGGGGAACTTTTGTCATAATCTTTTGCCCGTTTTGTAGGGAGGGAGGATTATATTAATTAATCCTCCTAACATGATGGCAGTTGGGGATGGTTAGCTCGAATTCATTCACCAACCTGGAATCATAGAGATATTATGAACCAAAATGGAAGTTGGCAACCATGTATTTTCTCATACTATAAAAAGTTTATTACTACTTTGAAATATTTAAGCAATTACAACTTATCGGTGAAGCAAGAGCGTAAAATAGCACACGGTGGAGCACCTATGATGGTTGAAGTTATGATCAGAGATCGTAGCAAAGGATAATGTACTTGTAGCCGTCTCATATTGTACAAACAATTGTCATTCTATCTATCATGTTAGTTACAGATTAAACTCGTTTTGCACTATTGAGTTCTCTACATATGTGTAAGGCCTAAGAGAGGCGAGTTGGACAGAGGTTCACAAACTCGAAAAACAATTCCTCGTTGTCTGGATGGATTCTCCTCCTACGAGAGGCAAGTCCATAGAGCTTAACAAACACGGGAAAAACATATTCTTGTTGTTGTTAGAACCGGTCTTCCTCGATCCTTGTATTTTTTAGTGTTTCTAATTGTGTTGCATCATTTTATTTCTGAGGCCAATGACATGTTAAATATCAGTTGGACCCACTTAAAATGGGGCAATATTGATTGAAAGGAACCCCATACCTTATGATGATGCTGAAAATTTGATGATTCACAACTTCCATTTACATCCGTAGGATTTTGTATGCACAATACAATATATACACACATAGATATGTTTATTGTGATTCATATTATTTGCGGTTGCTACAATATATATTTTATTAGTATTTTGTGCAGCCCGTAACTGATAATAATTAATAGTTTTTTGTGGGAGAAATAGCCCATAACATGAAAATGGCCAATCATAAGTACAATGAGGGGTGCAAATGGAATGTACTTTCTTTTCTTCTTCAACCCTCCAAAACCGAATCCTTCCTACCCATCCATCCCACAATAAATTCACTAACCGACGCTTCCATATGCCATCCCGCCACAACTTCCTAAGCAAGAAAATACCATTGGCAAAACTTGGTCAACAACTAAATAATCGAAGTGCCGAACAACTCATTTTATAAAAGTTTTCTATTCGAATTCAACGATCTTTTTTCAAAACGTCGTCATAAATATCTAAAGTTGATGTCGCACAAAAAATTTGAAGGTCACCACTTGAACCAATGTTGCCAAGCAGTGGTGGAGTGGAGCCAGAAATTATAACGACGGGGTTGACTTGATTATGGTAATTGGGAGAGGACGCCTAAAGTATTCCCAATATTCTGATTTTTGAATTTATACAAAATTTACATCTAATGTTACTGATATTTTAAAGTTTAAAAAGGGGGGCTAAAGCCCCGCCTAGTTTCAACCTAACTCCACCACTGTTGCCAACGCGTACATCCTCCATGCATGTCAACTATTCGAGTAATCACGGTTCATCTTTACGGCATTGTTTTGTTCAATAAACAAGTAGAAAGATTTAACTCGAGCATATTCTAACCTTCAAAAAAGCATCCAACTTCTCTTGACGACTAGGCTCTCTCGATTCATAGAAACTAGGAGAGGGGATGTCGAAATTGAAACCAGTACTTGTCTGGCATTCTATTTGTTTACATCCATTAGTTCGTAAGGGATTCAATGCTATCTTCATTATACCAAAAAGCAAGGTCTCAGCCATTAAATTCAACAATGGAGTAATGTTGTTTATTTTATTCAACAATCTGTTACTCGTTTTCTCTATGATAACTCCAGGGACAGATTTATCGAAGAAACCCCATTAATAACTAACAATATTGATTGGTGTGACATTATGAGATCTTTTGTAGTCTCTACCAATATAATTTTCCATGTATTAATGAACCGGCGATATGTTTTTGTAAGCATCAAATGATTAGCTGGTGCGTTTACACATAACAGTAGCTAACTACCATCATTTCAGTCCATTTGAATGCTCGTTTCTAACATCCCAACTAATTAGATACAGGAAATCCTAAGCTCTTTTGAGAAAGAGAGACACAATGGGTTATTGACATGTGTCCCTCCTCCATCAGCCAATCTAGCTGTTGGAATTTTACAGACTGTCGCTATCTAAAATTCTAGATGGAGAATCACCAAAGCTGCTGCTGATGTTGCAGCCTTTTTCAGTTTATCTTCTCCCCCCACCGTCCCATCTGGTTCCCATTTATCAATCATCACACAAAAACCACCATATCTACCTTCCTCTGTCGATGCTCGTCCGTCAGTCGGATGATCAGTGCACTAACCCGGCCGTGTATAACAGAAATCAGAAATGTCGGTGATCATCCTGACAGCTGCGCGAATACAGGTCCTTGATAGCGGACCAGTATGCTTCAGTTACAGAGGAAAGGGGGCCTCTATCCTCTAGCCATACCCTTCAAAGAAACGTATACAAAAAAACTGGTTACTAGTTCTTCTGGAAGTTTAAGTGAAGATACCAATCAATGTGGACAAGGAAGATAGGAAGAACACTTGGATTAATTCACTGGGGTTGCTGTTTCAGACCCTAAGAATATAAGGGTAAATATTACAAAATCCACATCACCAATAACAAGCTTAACTACAACATTTCGTTGATCCCACTTTAGATGAGTTGTCAGCTTCTTCGCGACTTCTTGATTTCTCGATCATAATGGTTCTGTGAAGGATCATAATGGTTCTGTGAAGGATCATAATGGTTGCCGTGCTCTGTTATCTGGGCGACTTCATATTTCTCTTTGCTTCTCCTTTTCTTGGGAGTGCTACACAAATTAAATTTTAAGGAAATGGGATGAGAGACTAGATAGACTGATTAAGCAGTGGTGAGGAAAAGGGGTTCCAGTGTCGCCGGCAGATTTTGGAAAGAAAACCTGTTAATTGTAACGCTTTCTGTGTTCGTATGCTCTGAAAATTTCTCCAATATCTTGACGCTTCCAGTGTTCGCAGGCATCAATGATCCGTAGATGTGGAGCGTCTCTTCATTCATACTGCGAAAAATGACAAACGCGAATTTAACTTTCATACTCACTACTTAATTATCTAAGCATAAATATCCAAATATGTAGTATGAAAGTGAAAACAATGGATGAACAAAGATGACAGGGTTCAGGTTGCTGAACTACTGATTGGAAATTATATAAACTATGACATTTATGCAATCTACAGAAAATCAATGATCAAATGCTAAATCTTCTTCTTTGAATTTCTGCATTGATGGTTATGCTTCATTCTACGATTTCATAATCTCGGAAGGGATTGCTAGGTACTAGAATTACAGAATACTTAATATCAGCAGACCTTTTGGAGTAGAACTACTTAATTACTATCAAATCTTGAAGAAGAATAAGAGAAGAAAATGTTACCTCTTGACAACAAAGCGGATCATAGTTCCGGCCTTAATCAGATGGCGCCTGTTAGATCTGTTGACATACAAGCCCTGGCCGTGTTTCTACATCAAGAGAAACCACCATTCCCAAGTAAGTTTGACATCAACAGCATCAACATCTCTATCGCAACAAAAATAAAGAAAGGCACGGTACACAACCCTCAATAATGACAACTGGTAAGCATACCGTCTTGTATTTGAACTCGTTGCGGATAGCTTCATCCGTTATTATAGCCGACGAGAATCCAAGAACAATGACATGAATAGACTCTTCAGTCACTTTCACCACCTTCCCTTCTGTAGTGTTCAGAACAAAACATTTGCTCCAAATTACTTAAAACCAATCGTCTGATCCGGAAAGAGGAACAATGTCTATCAATGGGGAAGGGTACCTAAGAGCATGTCTGGCTTAGGGGAAAAGACTAGCAATTTAGCTTCTAGTCTCACAGCAATGAACGGATGAACACCGGGAAGAATCCGCCCCTTGTTCTCCGGAGCATGAACATTATAAGCTAATAAAACACCGTCGAATGCATCATCGTACCTGCAATATCCACACCAGGAAATGGATATTCTTAATGAACACTGGAACTTCCCGCAATGAGCCCGCAAATTAAGCTACCTCACAGGTCGCAAAAAAGCTCTACACACAGCCGCCCTGTAACTTATCACTCCATAATCATGGAGTGTGGAAGTTGTACATGTCTACTATTAAAACCAAAGCAAGGTTAACCCAATTGAAGCAGAAACTAGCTGAGCAAAACCATGATTCAAGAAACCCCCCACAAGTTCCCTACAGCGGCGGATCCAGAACACAGAGAAGCACTGGGCCGAATTTCATTAGAAAATTACAACCATAAAAAAAATAATGATTATAGTTTCTTTGCAATTTAAATTGTACCCGATAGTATTTTAATTAAGAGAATGCATTAATAATGGAGTCTACAGAGCAATCGGCGAGAAATTCATCGCTCATTTGTTGAGCAAATCAGTTGTCGCATGTTTCATTGTTGAAAAGGTTCTCCTCGTAGTAGCTGTTGAAACGAGCAGCATCAACACTAGACAAATCAATCGACTAATCAATTTGCATTGTGTGTCTATCCATGCATCCACCAACTGCTCTAGTAAATTTTAAAGGGAACAAACCTCATATTTCTCTTAGTATTTTTCATTTTAAACTTTTAGAATTTTACGTTTCGTGGTTTTTTTTAGACGCATAATCTTTAGGGCTGAAATTTCTAGGCTAAATTTAGAGTAGTGATTTGAATATGTTCATCTGAATCATATTTCTAGTTATACCCAATCTTATTATAAAATAACACTGGAACAAATGCCTAAAATCGAAAAATTCATAACGACTATACTAACTACGGATCCAGAAGAGGGCTGGGCCGGGGCCTAGGGTGGCCACCCCCTAGATCCGCCACTGGTTCCCTAGCTTCGAACCACTGGGCACCAAGTTGCGCAAGTCTACAAATGGAACTAGTACACGGGAAATTGAGAGAAGAAAACCGAGCAGAATAGGAGTAAAGACACGAACTTGAAGAGCAAGGCGCTGAGCTCGCGGAAGATAGCTGAAGAGAGATTCTTGCTCTGCGAAGGGTCGACGTAGACTTTCAAATTGGCTTGGACCACGCTTAATCCTTCCATTCCCGAGCACTCAGGGCGAGTTTCAACAACTTCAATTCTGCGGGGGATTTTTTTTTTTTTTTCCTTTTCCGCGGCTATTCCGGATTCGGGAAGCGTCGTAGGGTTTTCCCCTGCGGCCCTAAACCCCTAAAGCAGCCAGGTTTCGAGCAGAATAGCAGCCATTGTCGACGAAACAGAAACTGTCTGGTGGGAAGCTCTTTACAGAGATGGTTAGCTTAACAGTGGACTCATTCTCAAAAAGGCCTTACAAGTTGTCCATTAGAAAGGCCCAGTTTAGGTTCATATTTGGGCTACCAGTATTTTATTGTATTTTGATATCATTGGGCCTGTACAAGTCCAGGTCTTCCGTAGCCAATCGCCATCATGTTCAAAACATATTATGTGTTCCTTTCATGGAATCGAGAGAGTTTGCTATAATATTTCATTTTATCGAATTTTGACTAAATAATTCGATTAATAAAAGTGAGAGATTTCTATAGTAGAGATTTAAAAAACTTGTAATTTTGAGTTTTTTTTTTTAAATAACTTAATCTCACTGCCATTAATCTATTTAGTAACCTTCCTATACTAATAATTACATAAAATAAACCTTGATTTGATTGCACGTACCAGAGGTTACTTTTTTTTTAATAATGTACCAAAGGTTACGTTGTGAGATTTTTGTTCACTTCATCACCAATAAAAATGTTCCTTACATGTGAAGCTAAGCTACACAGTTTTAATTAACTCGATTGTTAAAATTATGGGGTGATGTACAAATACATGCCTAGTGTATTACTTGTCAACTTCAAATACATTTCAATAACTAGTGATTTGAAATACCTCTTAACAAAAAAGTTGGACCTATTTGTAAAATTTTAACAATTTAGGTACTATAGTGTGAGTCAAATCTTATAAAGGTACCAAAATGCAATTTTACCATCAAAATTTCTGGACTTTTTTAAAAAATTTAAACGTTTAGATACTAAAGTGTAAGAAAAGTAAATTTGCATACCAAAATGTAATTTATCAAAATTTGTATTAAGTGATCAGAAAAGTCAAAGTCAAAATTAAATATTACAAAATCCTAAATACAAAAAAATTACAAATGAGTATCCAAACAACGAATTTGAATCACTTGTATTTCAAATGCTAGTATTCAAATACATACATTTGAAATACTTATATTTGGGGATGAGATAGCATGCCTACCCCTAAAGGGGTTGGAAAAATCACACCCCCTAATAATTATAGATTTTTAAGGTAATTAATTTATGTTACATTTAACAAATTGTATGAATTAAAAACACATATTAATTACTTTCCTTTCTTCAGCGCACTGGTAGTTGTATAAGTGCAATGGTATTAGTGTACAGGTGCAATGGTAGATGTATCAGTGCAATGGTAGTTCCAAAAAAAGAACGTAATTACTATGAATTCAGTATATAGGTGCAATGATAATTGTATCAGTGCAGTGGTAGTTAAAAAATGAATGTAATTAAGATGAATGTTTAATTTCCAAAGATTATTAAATGTAACACGAATTTAATAAAAAAAACTATAATTAATAAGGATGTCATTTTTCCAACCCTTGGAAAAATTAGCATGCTAACCGATCCCTATATTTGAAATACATCTATCTATCCAAACGCAATCAATTTCAATCTCGAGATTTACCTGTTTCATTTTTAATGAAGTTGAACCCATTGACCAAACAAAAAACGTCAAAATCGCATGCTATCCTCGAGATGCATGCGCTCTGCAAGTGTGCCTTCGTTTACACTTCCCCAGCCCTAAGCAGCCCCAAATCCAATCGGAAGGTGAAATATCATTATCTACTTTGTTTATACCCTTGTTTTTATTGTTTGTTGGACTACTAGTAAACGAGTAATCTTGTATTATATTGCAACCTAATTACCAAACTCTTTTGTTTCGAAAGCTTGAGAATCAGAACCTTATTTTAGAATACACGTATGTTTTAGAAACGTATACGGTAACCTAATTACTTGTAATTTTTTTATATGAGTGACATCATTTATCTATTAAAATTGGTTATGCAAAGAAAACAGAGTTGAGAACCATCAGCAGCATACAGAATTGGATCAACAACAAGGCAGTGCAGTACAAGCTAGCTCGATGACAAAAGTAAGATTTGAAATTATCCATGTCTTCTATTCATAATATAAGTATTGAATTAATAATTATTTAATAAATATAATTAAAATTAATAATATTCAAATAATTCATTCATAGATAAAATATAACCGACTAATACAATTATTATTTTCATAAATAACGGTGATGGGATTTCATATTGTGAAATAAACGCAAATAGATTCGTTGTTTACACTCTTAAGTAAGTCACTTTTAATATATCTCACTAAACAATCATAATAGCAAGTTGGTCACTAGTTCGACTTGAAAACCTGTTCTTAATATAAATTAAAGTTGAAAATGCGCTTTCTAAACGTGTAGCGGCAGTGGGAATGGGATGGCGGTCTGGGCCACGATGGTGGACCTCTTCCAATCTTCTTGGGGTCGTTTGGATTAGAGATTTGGATGAGTGATTTGTGAGGGATTTTAAAACAATCTCTCATTCTGCAGGATTTTAATACAATTATGCGTTTGGGAAAGATAAGGAATTTTACAATTAGGAATTTTAAAAACTCTCAATCGTGGGTTTTAGAAATAGCTAATCACCATCAGCTATTTTTAAATCTCTCGTTCTTCTTTTATTTATTCCAAAACCTACCCTTCATTCGACTCTTCTTCCTTCTTCTCCGACCGACCTTATTACTCCAATCACTCCACCCTCAACCGCAGACGCAGAGCATCCTGAGCAGCATCCAGATTTCCCCAACCACCGCCACATCTGTCAACCTTCCCCGTTGTCCTATGCCATTGACCCCCAGTCGCCGCCACTACGGCTGCGATCGAAGAGCTCCAAAAGACGACAAGCAGGCCTCAGGTCCGCCTGCCGATTTGCTGGTCGGTGGTCGCGCTGCAAACATCCCCACATCGGCGCCAATTTGCTGTTTGGATGTGCTTGGTTAAGAGTCGATAAGAAGTGAGGGAATCTGATGGATCAGGTGGAATATCGGGGAAGGGGGTCAGATGCGAATTGCGATAGAGAAGGAGGAATCACCCAATCTGGGTTTCAATCGATTGGCTAGCTAAATCGAGGCATATGAAGTGGAATACAAAAGCGGTAACCAGCTAGGGTCGTTTGGAATCGGAAGGGAGTGAGATGTATATGCAATTTTGGATTGGGGTTCTTATTTGTCTCCGATTCAGAGTTTGTTATCTTCTTCTTTTACCTGCAAACAATAATGGGATTATGGGTTTGTGATGGAAGCAGATAAGAAGAGTAGTATGATTAATTGGTGTAGAAGCAGGGGAAGAACAATTGATTGCTAGTTGTATCACAAACGAAGATGAACATGAGGGAAGATGACAAAGGATATTATTGTAATTTGAGTTTTAAGGTTAAAATTCTGCGTTTTATCCAAACGAGTTATTTCTATTAAATCCTGCATACAAATTTCCTGGTATTTTAAACGAGAGATTTTAATCAAAATCCCTCATTATTAAAATCTCTCATCCAAACGACCCCCTTGATTTTTCTCTTCCATTCCTCTCTTGGGCTTAGACGACTCATGTAAGACTTAACCTCAATTGGGCTTTGTTTTGTATGTGAAAACCTCCAATTTCTTCTAGACTTTTGCCTTATGGATCTCCAACTTATCGACTTCTTAATCCAATATTTGATCCAAATTCTCCTCAATTGTATTTAATCCTAAAATGCAAAAAAAAAATATAAAGAAGGAATAAAACAACACAAAAACACAACCAAGATATAAAAAAAGTACATTGATCAGATAGTTACGAAATCATAGAAAATATAACAAAAACTACTAAAGATGCATTGATATAAAGTGGAATATATCAAATATATGTCCTTGAGAGCACTATAATTTTAGTGTTATCGGATATCATAATATTCAAAAACCCTTTGCCAAAGGGCCTCTCGGCGGACCCCATTGGCCGGCCCTATTGTTAGGTCGCCGATATACCAAGAGCGGGGTATTGATTAGTTCGGTTAATCATAGAAACCGAAAACTCAATGCTGGTATTTTCCTTGAAACCAAAATCGAACTGTAAATGAGTTTTACCAGTGTTGATTAAGACCCTTACACGATTCGGTTTCAGTCTATATGAGAGCCTATGTTTTCAATCCCAATAATACGAGTTATTTAAAGCAATACGAGTTATTGGAAGCAGTCTAATATGAATTTTACATTATAAGCTTACACAAAAGCCTCAAATGAAAACTATGTTATGGGTTTGAAGTTTTCACCTTTTACTGCCATTAACATAACCTTTTCCTATCAAATCCTCTAATACTATACCGAGAACTTGTTAATCCAAACATAAACTCAATTATGCACATCATACTTTCTCTTTTTACTCTCTTCTAATTTCAAACTGTTCCTCACTGACTGATAGCAAGACTGCAAGAGTACTCTTTACTTAATACTCTCCCTGATCCAAGACATAGTGCGATTGGGGTATGTAGAAGAGTTTATGGGTGCGATCAACTTTTTTGTTGAGTTGTTACCCATTAAACCAAAACCATACTTAAAAGGGTCTATTATGTGCATAAATGGCCTTTTAAAATTACGTAGTGATGTTTAGATTGTAATCACGATGAAGTTTTGGAAGCAATGAGTTTGTTATGCAATTAGTTAATTAGATAGTGACTTGGGTCACGCCAGCCATAATCTCAACTCTTCAAAACCTCTCTCTAAGTCAATTCCTTGTTGACAATGATTAAACACCAAAACAAATTATGGCGGGCGGGCTGTGAAATCTACATTCCATCATGTCCATCCGATCCAAAACCCTAATCAGGTCAATTACTTCATGGATTTGAAAAATGAGGGTTTTGGTAAAACTTGGGTTTTGGAAAACCATGGATATATGATGGATTTGGTGGCATTATGGATTTGAACAAGTCTATTGTTTGCTTGATGGATTTGATTATGGACTTTGTTTGATTAGATTTGTGGATATTAAATACAAATTACCTAGTTACCCTTATTTAATCCAAATTACCTAGTTACCCTTATAATCCAAATCTTTCATTTAAAACTAATCCAAAACATAGAAAGAAATTTTAAACTCTTTACCACTATGTGGATTAATAATT